TTTTGGTTTGAGAACGAAGCGACCTCAGCCAGCGATTGTTTCGCTTGCAAGCGGCTGAAAGTTAGCGCACTGTTGTAAGGCTAATCACTGTACATCGCTTGCAAGCGATTCGCGCTTTGCAAAGCTTCCCTAGATCACGTACTTTGTGTACCCCTCTGACAAGTATAAATTGGCACAGCTCCCATGGCCGAAAGCTATGAATACACAATGCCATTTAGAAAATGGTCAAATGTAACAAATATTATATTTACACAATGCCATTTAGATACTGCTTAGATAAGCGTTTACTGCTTTTGAAAATGAACTTACCCCCTAAGAAATCAGAGATCGATGATCCAGCTGTTGCTGCATAATGTCACTTGGATGTAGGGTAAACTTGAACTAATGATGGCGGGTGCACATTATGACGTAATGGTGTGACGTCATTCCGACGTCTTTTCACGAGACGGAATCCTTTTAGGGGCATTTTGGGTTTTTAAATTAGTAGTAACTTGAAATTTCAAGATACTAATAAACTTGAAATTTCTAGATAATAAGTTGAAATTTCAAGTTGGTATGTATCTTGAAATTTCAAGTTAGTATCTTGAAATTTTCTTGATCATTATCTTTAATTTTCAACTTCTGTATCTTGAAACTTCAACTTAGTATCTTGAAATTTCAACTTATAATCTAGAAATTTCAACTTAGTATCTTGAAATTTCAACCTAGTATCCTGAAATTTCAAGGTAATAAGTTGAAATTTCAAGATGGTTATCTTGAAATTTCAACTAAGTATGTATCTTGAAATTTCAACATACCATCTTGAAATTTCAAGAAAAAAAACCAAATGTCCCTAAAACGCTTCTGTACAACAAGGCATTTTGTCAAAACAAACACATTTCAAGATACAGAAGTTTCAAAATACTTATGTATCTTGAAATTTGAATTTTACAAAAACAGTAAAAAAGCAAATGGCCCTAAAAGGCTAGCGTACATTTGAAAAACAGAGTCATGAAAAATAATTTAATGTAAGAGATTGCGTCTTTTACCATAGATCTATATTTATTCACTTCTCAATGGTCTTTGCGTCCCTTGGGCACGCCGGAAACCTATGACTGTGGGTTCGAATCCCGGTTCGCCCCGATTATGTTTTTAGGTTTGTCAGCACCATACCCGTCCTCGTGGGTTTCACCGAAGTGGTAAACGTCTGAGACCTGCATCACTTCGGGCTTTCCTCCCACATTAAGCTGACACGCCGTGATATAACTGGAATACTGTTAAAAGCGGCGTTAAACCCAACTCACTCACTCACTCACTCTCAATGGTCATCTCTCACGTCCCCGCAAAATATGCGGGACTAAATGTAATTGACTGTGACAGTATCTGTGTTCAGCATCAAACAATTCATGTGAAGGTTTGTCTTACTCATATCTGCTACATGTTCCTTAGACATTTAGTCTTCAGATTAAACTGTAACTGTTGTGAAAATGTTCTATTGCTGCATTACCAATGCACAACATTATGAAAACTGAGTGTGCTTATTGGGGAACTTGTGTTCAACTATAGGCTGTTGGGGTCGTTATCGGTACTCACATGGGGATAACATTTCATGATAATATGTTCTAACCGAAGATTTCTGCAATGTGTTGAAAACATTGTATTACCATGTTATGAAATAGTTTCGCCTATGTTACATGATGTTCTTGAATAACATTTTGAAAACATTTCAATAACATTTCATGAAATATTTTCTGGCATAACATTTCTGCAACGTGTTGAAAACATTGTATTACCATGTTATGAAATAGTTTCGCCTATGTTACATGATGTTCTTGAATAACATTTTGAAAACATTTCAATAACATTTCATGAAATATTTTCTGGCATAACATTTCTGCAACGTGTTGAAAACATTGTATTACCATGTTATGAAATAGTTTCGCCTATGTTACATGATGTTCTTGAATAACATTTTGAAAACATTTCAATAACATTTCATGAAATATTTTCTGGCATAACATTTCTGCAACGTGTTGAAAACATTGTATTACCATGTTATGAAATAGTTTCGCCTATGTTAAATGATGTTCTTGAATAACATTTTGAAAACATTTCAATAACATTTCATGAAATATTTTCTGGCAAAACATTTCTGCAACGTGTTGAAAACATTGCATTACCATGTTATGAAATAGTTTCGCCTATGTTACATGATGTTCTTGAATAACATTTTGAAAACATTTCAATAACATTTCATGAAATATTTTCTGGCATAACATTTCTGCAACGTGTTGAAAACATTGTATTACCATGTAATGAAATAGTTTCGCCCGTGTTATAGCATGTTGTTTTTGAAAAACATTTTAAAAACATTTCAATAACATTTGGAATAATTATAAAACATTTACACCTTATTCGGAAGATTTTACATATGTGTACACAATGTATTTAAAACATGATGATAACTTTCATTAAATTTGTCTGGCAAAACATTTCTGCAACGTGTTGAAAACATTGTATTACCATGTAATGAAATAGTTTCGCCCGTGTTATAGCATGTTGTTTTTGAAAAACATTTTAAAAACATTTCAATAACATTTGGAATAATTATAAAACATTTACACCTTATTCGGAAGATTTTACATATGTGTACACAATGTATTTAAAACATGATGATAACTTTCATTAAATTTGTCTGGCAAAACATTTCTGCAACGTGTTGAAAACATTGTATTAACATGTTATGAAATAGTTTCGCCTATGTTATAGCATGCTGTTCTTGAATAACATTTTGAAAACATTTCAATAACATTTTGAATAATTAAAAAAATATAAAAATATAAATCGTTAATAAAATGTTTTGACGAAAATGTTTTTGAAAAACTGCAATGAAACCTTTCGAAAATGTTTTGAAAATGTTTTGTGTTAGCTGGTATAGCTGTATAGCTGGGCAACGCGGATAAACGCAGTGGCCGAACGATCACATCCAACAGTGTGAGAGGTGTATCAGGAGAAAAGGTACAGACAATCGCCGTGAGGATTGTGAGAATATGCGGGAAATACCAAACTTTTCACCCCTGTTCAAATAATGGACTTGTCCGACATTTCCGACACACTTCGTTCTTCATTGTTCTTTGCGATTTATCACGCAACTATCTTATTTATGGATAAACGTATTTGTACATAGTCAGTGTTTTTGGTATTTATGGATATATGTATTTCTATCATGGTCAGTGTGGCTGTGTTTTAAGCTCTGATTCCATGGTTTACTTTAATATTGTTCAAGTGGTGTTAAAACCAACTCACTCATTCACTCACACCGGCTATTTGAGCACATGTAGGACTCCGGCTGCCTGTACGATCACGTTGGCACCCTGGCCTAGTTCGTCTCATGTAGCCACAGTGCTCGATACTTGTCGAAACAACTGACTATAATGGGGATCGGGTGGTTATCGTGTTATTGTGCCCGGAGGGCGTTGATCGTTTATCATGTATACCAAGATACAGACGCCATTATTTCAGGCTACCGTGATATTGCTGGAATATTGCTGGGGCGTAAAACAATATTGTTTCACCATGTCAAGTTTTCTCCGCATATATTTCTCACCCCAGGTGTCGTAGGCTAGAGGTTAAAGTCCGAGGTTCCGTACTATGAGTGAAGGCAATTCTTAGTCATCTCTTGGAATGTTGCTAAAGGAGACGGAAAACACAACTAATGTGTTATCCTATAAATGCAATATATTAACTGTATGGAATCCTAGTAGGGACATTATCGCATTGTCGCGACAATGCGATAATGTCCCTACTAGGATTCCATACAACTGTGGACATTAACTAAAGGATTACAAAATGAGGACTATATGTACTCGAGTTTCGTTGTCCAGTTGGCTTGTTGCACTGAAGCAGCCTCTTTATCATAAACAGTGAGTAAGTGAGTGTGGTTTTACCGCCTTTTTTTGTAAGGTTACAGCAATATGACAGCGACGAAATTGGCTTCACACGTTGTACTCATGTGGGAAGGCGAAACTGGACCTTCGGCGTGGCAGAGCGAACACTTTAACCACTAGGCTACCCCACCGCCCTATAAACAATGAAGCCAGGTTAATCGTCACAACACCCTTCCAACGAACCTATCCGGATTAAGAAATACCCGGAATAAAGAATTCTTGGTAAAGAAAAATACAACTTTGTATATATGTTACAGTCAAAGTGTAAAATCAGTCAATGTGTAAAATGACTGAATTTTTCACTTAGACGATTTACAAAACGCCAAAATATTTCAGTCATTTTACAAAAAAGAATTCTCGTCAGATTGACTAAAAGTTTAAAAAGGGCTTAAAAACATCACAATATATTAAATAAATGGGCGTTTTGTAAATTGCCTTTGTGAAAATATCAGTCATTTTACACATTGACTGATTTTACACATTGACTGATTTTACACGTTGACTGATTTTACACATTGACTGATTTTACACATTGACTGATTTTACCGAACTATATCGTCCGGAAAGCCAATATTCCGGAATAAGGAGGTCCAAACTTACGGGGTTGCAAAGTATCGGTTGTATTAACCTACTGCCAAAACCTGTCGGTAAACATTAATCTCGTTACATTTAAACTTAACATATGAAAAACCATTGCTCAAGATTTCATTACGTAACGGAACATACCAATTTCTATATATAAAGTTTATAGGGAACCGTGTTTTACCATGATGCATTTCGCCAATAAGACCACCCAGTACGTGCGTCTACGATTAAAGGAAACCCGTGCAGAATAAAAGTGAATATACCCCGGGAATACAAGAACACAGCATGTGTGTTTCCTTCTGCATTTTGTGATAGACAAATAAGAACGTAAACATTCCAGATGCATGTGGAGAACTCTACGTTATGTTCTGAAGGTGTTCAGGTTTGATAAAGCAAGCAGATCATTTGATTACATCGCCATGTATTTGTACAGCATAAAGTGGGAACAGGTAGGAAGTCAATTCAGTGCAACATGGAACCTCTATATAGCATCAGCATAATCATCCAACAACACCCGACTCAACCCAAACCCATCCATCCCCTCTCGACTCAACCCCACCCAATCCAACCCCTCTCGACACAACCCCACCCCATCGAACCCCTCTCGACTCAACCCCACCCCATCCATCCCCTCTCGACTCAACCCCACCCCATCCAACCCCTCTCGACACAACCCCACCCCATCCAACACAACCCGACTCAACCCCACCCCATCCAACACAACCCGACTCAACCACACCCAATCCAACCCCTCTCGACACAACCCCACCCCATCCAACCCCTCTCGACACAACCCCACCCCATCCATCCCCTCTCGACTCAACCCCACCCCATCCAACCCCTCTCGACACAACCCCACCCCATCCAACACAACCCGACTCAACCCCACCCCATCCAACACAACCCGACTCAACCACACCCAACACCAGCCGGCACAAGCCCACCGAACACCCCTCCACCTCACCCACCACCAGTCCATCCGACACAGCCAAGCGGCACCACCCTATCCAAGACCACCGCCACACAGCACACCACTCTACCTCGATACTATTTCACCTTAGCCCAACAAATCCCACTCGACCCCACCCCACCTTTCAGAGACATGACCGACACACATCCGAACGTCAGAGCGCAGTCTACCACACAACACCAGCAACGCGAACTCTTGAAACCTCTCAGCTCTACAAAAAACAGGTGTATGACATCTGAGGGTAAAGAGCAATGAAATGTTTCTCTGGTTCGAGAGGCACGGCTGGCACAGTCGTCTTAGGTGCAATTCGTTGTGCAGAGTTACGTCCCTTAGGTGGGCAAGATATCTATGATCGTAGGTTTGAATCCCAGATTCCCCCTGTATATTTATCTGGGCTTGTCTGAACCATACTCGTGTAGAACATAGTGATAAGGCTTGTTGCGAGTGCCATGTATTCCCCTTGTAGAACATAGGGGTAAGGCTTGTTGCGAGTGCCGTGTATTCCCCTTGTAGAACACAGGGATAAGGCTTGGTGCGAGTGCCACGCATTCCCTTTGTAGAACATAGGGATAAGGCTTGTTGCGAGTGCCACGTTTTCCCCTTGTAGAACACAGGGGTAAGGCTTGGTGCGAGTGCCATGTATTCCCCTTGTAGAACACAGGGATAAGGCTTGGTGCGAGTGCCGTGTATTCCCCTTGTAGAACACAGGGATAAGGCTTGGTGCGAGTGCCATGTATTCCCCTTGTAGAACACAGGGATAAGGCTTGGTGCGAGTGCCATGTATTCCCCTTGTAGAACATAGGGGTAAGGCTTGGTGCGAGTGCCGTGTATTCCTCTTGTAGAACACAGGGATAAGGCTTGGTGCGAGTGCCATGTATTCCCCTTGTAGAACATAGTGATAAGGCTTGGTGCGAGTGCCATCTATTCCCCTTGTAGAACACAGGGATAAGGCTTGGTGCGAGTGCCATGTATTCCCCTTGTAGAACATAGGGTTAAGGCTTGGTGCGAGTGCCACGTATTCCCCTTGTAGAACACAGGGATAAGGCTTGGTGCGAGTGCCGTGTATTCCCCTTGTAGAACACAGGGATAAGGCTTGGTGCGAATGCCATGTATTCCCCTTGTAGAACATAGGGTTAAGGCTTGGTGCGAGTGCCATGTATTCCCCTTGTAGAACATAGGGATAAGGCTTGGTGCGAGTGCCATGTATTCCCCTTGTAGAACATAGGGATAAGGCTTGGTGCGAGTGCCGTGTATTCCTCTTGTAGAACACAGGGATAAGGCTTGGTGCGAGTGCCGTGTATTCCCCTTGTAGAACATAGGGGTAAGGCTTGGTGCGAGTGCCATGTATTCCTCTTGTAGAACATAGGGATAAGGCTTGGTGCGAGTGCCGTGTATTCCCCTTGTAGAACACAGGGATAAGGCTTGGTGCGAGTGCCATGTATTCCCTTTGTAGAACACAGGGTTAAGGCTTGGTGCGAATGCCACGTATTCCCCTTGTAGAACACAGGGGTAAGGCTTGGTGCGAGTGCCATGTATTCCCCTTGTAGAACACAGGGATAAGGCTTGGTGCGAGTGCCACGTATTCCCCTTGTAGAACATAGGGATAAGGCTTGGTGCGAGAGCCGTGTATTCCCCTTGTAGAACACAGGGATAAGGCTTGGTGCGAGTGCCGTGTATTCCCCTTGTAGAACACAGGGATAAGGCTTGGGGCCAGTGCCGTGTATTCCCCTTGTAGAACACAGGGATAAGGCTTGGTGCGAGTGCCATGTATTCCCCTTGTAGAACACAGGGATAAGGCTTGTTGTGAGTGCCACGTATTCCCCTTGTAGAACATAGGGGTAAGGCTTGTTGTGAGTGCCACCTATTCCCCTTGTAGAACACAGGGATAAGGCTTGGTGCGAGTGCCGTGTATTCCCCTTGTAGAACACAGGGATAAGGCTTGGGGCCAGTGCCGTGTATTCCCCTTGTAGAACACAGGGATAAGGCTTGGTGCGAGTGCCATGTATTCCCCTTGTAGAACACAGGGATAAGGCTTGTTGTGAGTGCCACGTATTCCCCTTGTAGAACACAGGGATAAGGCTTGGTGCGAGTGCCATGTATTCCCCTTGTAGAACATAGTGATAAGGCTTGGTGCGAGTGCCATCTATTCCCCTTGTAGAACACAGGGATAAGGCTTGGTGCGAGTGCCATGTATTCCCCTTGTAGAACATAGGGTTAAGGCTTGGTGCGAGTGCCACGTATTCCCCTTGTAGAACACAGGGATAAGGCTTGGTGCGAGTGCCGTGTATTCCCCTTGTAGAACACAGGGATAAGGCTTGGTGCGAATGCCATGTATTCCCCTTGTAGAACATAGGGTTAAGGCTTGGTGCGAGTGCCATGTATTCCCCTTGTAGAACATAGGGATAAGGCTTGGTGCGAGTGCCATGTATTCCCCTTGTAGAACATAGGGATAAGGCTTGGTGCGAGTGCCGTGTATTCCTCTTGTAGAACACAGGGATAAGGCTTGGTGCGAGTGCCGTGTATTCCCCTTGTAGAACATAGGGGTAAGGCTTGGTGCGAGTGCCATGTATTCCTCTTGTAGAACATAGGGATAAGGCTTGGTGCGAGTGCCGTGTATTCCCCTTGTAGAACACAGGGATAAGGCTTGGTGCGAGTGCCGTGTATTCCCTTTGTAGAACACAGGGTTAAGGCTTGGTGCGAATGCCACGTATTCCCCTTGTAGAACACAGGGGTAAGGCTTGGTGCGAGTGCCATGTATTCCCCTTGTAGAACACAGGGATAAGGCTTGGTGCGAGTGCCACGTATTCCCCTTGTAGAACATAGGGATAAGGCTTGGTGCGAGAGCCGTGTATTCCCCTTGTAGAACACAGGGATAAGGCTTGGTGCGAGTGCCGTGTATTCCCCTTGTAGAACACAGGGATAAGGCTTGGGGCCAGTGCCGTGTATTCCCCTTGTAGAACACAGGGATAAGGCTTGGTGCGAGTGCCATGTATTCCCCTTGTAGAACACAGGGATAAGGCTTGTTGTGAGTGCCACGTATTCCCCTTGTAGAACATAGGGGTAAGGCTTGTTGTGAGTGCCACCTATTCCCCTTGTAGAACACAGGGATAAGGCTTGGTGCGAGTGCCGTGTATTCCCCTTGTAGAACACAGGGATAAGGCTTGGGGCCAGTGCCACGTATTCCCCTTGTAGAACACATGGATAAGGCTCCGTGCCTTCCGTGTTTATTATTGCGGTGAGTGTCGTTTAACTGTGAAATTCCCTGGCATATTAAATGTTGAGTCTCTCCTGCACCGTGTTGCACATGCCTAGATGTGTATCAGGACAATTACAACTGAATGTTAATGTCGAGTGACCTTGGCTCCCAGCCAGTAACGCAGACAGACATGAAGGTGTCTGGTGTATATCTGCTACTGTACAGACTCCTTTTCACTTATATATGAACGAGTTGAAACATTATATGTGCTTGCAATGTTTTATCCGTTTTGATTGTTTCACACGGAGGCTCGTCTGCACAAAGCAATCTAAGTGTTTGTACTTTTGCAATTCCAACAATATTGATTGAGTATTGTTTGACGCCGCTTTAGCACACAATTCCAACGATATTTACACCAGAAACACCAAGAAAGAGTTTCAGGAATCGAACCCGAATCTCCAGCGAGACGAGCGAGAGCCTTAACCAATGGTATTTCCTACCTCCCCTCCCTTATACTTTAACTCAAGTTTACAGTAATCGCTGAAACAGGACATATTTGTGAAAACAAATTGTTACCGGTGTTTTGCGTAAGTAGTTTAGTGTGAATATTTGTAGTAATTGTCTTGTGGCAATTTCAAGTGCTGTCGCAGATTTGAATTAGAGTTGGCTGCTCTTGTTGTATACACAATCTCATTAAAATCAGATCTTAGTTCTCGCTACCGCTAAACAAAGATCTGAGGACATCCCATTACGGGTAACGTCAGACCGACCTTGCGCGAACTTTGACCGACCAGTGGAATGACCAATCAGAAGGCAGTTTTCTCGTGCTTTACGGCACTTATTTCAAATTGGCGACTACGCTTCGAAACATATTTTGACAAATTCGCGATTACAATCACCTCGTAGACCTTAGCGCAAGGACTGCCGTATCAAGACTTAGGACAGTGGTAACACATAGACCGCTTTGTGAAAGTGGCCCCTGATAGATATCGAGATGGTATGTAATCAGCGTGTAGACAGCAACTTGTCTGTGGTGAGAGGAAAGTTCCTGTGTGTAATTAGCTACGCTCATGTCGTCGTCCATGATGATAGTACCAAATATATGACACAGCTGTATATTGACTATGTATTGTGATTAACAACAATGTCATACAAGGCTTGTGACGTCATCACGGGAGACTAGGCCCTCTTGTAAGCATGAAAGCAACTGACAGGCGAACATTAGGCCCAAGAAATGGATGACCCTTTTTTGTCAGCCGATGATGATAACATGCAATGTGCTCTAATTTCACAAACTTGAAGGAGTTCAAAGATCAAGTGTAATAACATTCCAATATTTGCGCATGTTAGGGTAAAAAGATCAGGTGATGTTACATATTTTAGTTGCAAACTTTATACATATGCATTTTTTAATGTTGATTAGCGATATGGTGACACATTCCACCATTGTTGAGAAATAGAGAATCTCACCCGAGTGTCTTTTGATATCAAATATATCAACACGAGTTGATAAAAGTGGAAAAATCCGAGGCTTGCCGAGGATTTTTGCCACTTTTATCAACTCGTGTTGATATATTTGATATCAAAAGACACGAGGGTGAGATTTTATTTATCATCCAACATCATTCTTTCAACTTTTTCAATTTTTAGACAGTAATTAGCAGTGTCTTCAGTGTAAAAAGTACTGCAAACAGCTTCAGTAGCAGAGCCATTAGTGATGTCATTTGATTGTGACGTCATGGTAACCAGTGATGTCACAATGGTCTGCAAAGCATTGTGATGTAATTTCATTGCAGCGATATCTACAGTGTAGATATCGCTTGATCTCATCCAAGCGATATCTCCTGTGGGAGCCAGTTTTGGATGATAATAATCAGTTTTCATGACGTTACAAATTGATAGCATTACGTCATCTGAACAATAGGTTGACGTCATCAGTGACGTTTCTCTGTAAGGTTGACATTTCATACGATTTTCTTTGTTTTCTTTCGTAGAATATTATAACTTATTTCTTAATATATAAAATAACTTCGAAGCTCGAGA